GAGCTTCCTAAGACACTGGAAGCCCCTGAGAGTAGGGCCCTGGAGGTGACGGAGCAGGTGATGTCAGGGCCTTGAGTTCAGCGTGGGAGTCACAGAGCATGTGAATTGGGCCAGCCTGTGCCAGGAGGGAACTGAGTAGGCCCTGGAAAGCCTCTGCCTCTCTGTCTAGAGCAGTGGTTCTCAACCTTCCTAATACTGCAACCCTTTAATACAGCTCCTCACATTGTGGTGACCCCCAACCAAAAATATATATAAAACCATATATTATTTCATTGCTACTTCATAACTAATTTTGCTACTGTTATGAATCATAATGTAAATATCTGTGTTTTCAGATGGTCTTAAGTGACCCCTGTGAAAGGGTCATTTGAACCCCCAAGGGATTGTGACCCACAGGTTGAGAACCACTGATCTATAGGATTGAAATCTTTGGTCTTTGATCAAAACCTTGTAACAGTCTGTACTGCTGTGGATATCGCTCCATATAAATAAAATACTGATTGGCCAATAGCCAGACAGGAAGTATAGGTGGGACTAACAGAGAGGAGAATTGAGGAAACAGGAAGGGAGGGAGACACTGCCAGCTGCCGCCATGACAAGCAATATGTGAAGATGCTGGTAAGCCACGAGCCACGTGGCAAGGTATAGATTTATAGAAATGGGTTAATTTAAGATATAAGAACAGTTAGCAAGAAGCCTGCCATGGCCATACAGTTTGTAAATAATATAAGCGTCTGTGCGTTTACTTTATAAGTGGGCTGTCGGACTGTTGGGGCTTGGCAGGACCCGGAGAGAAAACTACAGCTACACTGTACAGTCACAATCTTCAATCATCCAGGAGGTCTTGGCTCTCAATGATGAGCAGGACTGTAACACTGACCTGTGTTACCATTCCTGCATGGACATGGCTCTTTCCCGCGTCAGTACACTGCAGTTCTAGGGTCTGAACCCCAACCCAGGAGTGTCCTTGTTTGCATTCTGTTGCTGTGATAAACACCATGACCAAAAGCAAGTTGAGGAGGAAAGGGTTTATTTCAGCCTCAGCTTACTTCTATGTCACAGTACATCTTTGAAGAAAGTCAGGCAGGAATTCCAAGCAGGAACCTGGAGTCAGGAGCCATGGAGGAAAGCTGCTTACTGGCTCATGCCAGGCCAACTTTCTTATACAGCCCAAGACCACCTGCCCAGGGAATGGTACCTCCCACAGTGGGCTGAGCCTTCCCACATCAATCAATGCCACCCCCCCACACACAAGAGACATGGCTACAGTCCAGTCTGATCTTGGAAGTCTCTCAGTTGAGACTTCCTTACCTCAGGTGACTCTTGGTCATATCAAGGTGACAAAAAAGCCAACCAGGAGAAAGACACAGACAGAAAATGTGCAAGGGGAGCCATGCATGCTCATGAGTTGTTTGGACAGGAGTTTGGAAAGGAACAGAGGTGTACTCTCCAGGGAGGGGTTGAGGATTCAACTGTCAGAATGCCCACAATCCCTATCCTAACACACGCTGTGGCATCTTCTGATGCAGCAAGGTCATTTTCCAGTGTCGGACTCCTCACCCAGACCTCAGCATGGCTGATGACACAGTGAGATGGTTGCTGATGGTCCAGAGACCCTCGCGATGCAGGCTGCTGACAGCAAGGCACAGCAGCGTTTAGTGGTTAGGTCTGGTGAACAATTCATGGAAGTCCTGGGGCTCAGAGATGGCTCAGCAGTTAAGAGCATGTGATGCTCTTGTAGAAGACCTGGGTTCAGCTCCATGTCTTAGCTGTTACAAATAGTGTTCCAAAAATATGAGCACAGGTATATCTTTCATGGGCATATTTCATTCTCTGTGAATACCAACCTAGAAGTGGGATGGCTAGGTCATATAGTAGACCTGCTGTTAGCTTTCCAGGCTATTCCTTGCTGTTCCCCACAGTGGCAGTCTTAATTTAAATTCCCACAAACAGTGTATGAGAGTCCCTTTTAATTTACATCCTCACCTCATTTCCTTTTTCCTAATAACAACCTAGTAAATTTAACCTAATGAAATTTAAATCACTTACTATTCCTGGTGTGCATTTGTGCATGCATGTGTACATGTATATGTCACAGTTCACATGTGGAGGGCGGAGGATAACGTTGTGGAGTCAGTTCTCTCTGGGACTTGAACTCACGTTTCAAGCTTACGCAGACAGTACCTTTACCCCCTGAGTCCCCTCACCACCACCCTCCGGAGTCATTCTGACTAGGGTAAAAAATCATACCCCACATCATTCTGTATGTGTTTCCCTGGTGGCTGATGAGACTAAGCATTTTCCTATATTTATTGGCCATTTAGAGTTTGTGTTTTGAGACATGCCAAGGGTACTTCTCCCAGTGACCTAACTTCCTGCCGCCAGGACCAACCTTCTCAAAGTGGTTCTGTCACCCCCTGAAAATGGTTCTGTCACCCCCTGAAAGTGCCACAAGCCAGCAACCAATTAATGGCTGTTAATACACGGCCTTCATACATATGTATGAAGTAAGGAATTCTGGGTCTAGGGAGGTAGCTTATGTAATTAAGTGCTTGCCACATAAGTATGAGGACCTTGTGTTCAATCCCCAGAACCTACATTAAGGAGAAAAGGAATAAAGGAAAGAAAGAAGGGAGGGAGAAAGGGAGGGAGGGAGGGAGGGGAGAGAAAATAAAGGTCAGATGTTTGTAATCTCAGTGCTCCGATTCCCAAGATAAGTGGATCTCTGGGGCTCGTTGGCTTGGCCAGCCTAGTCTACTCAGCAAGTTCCATGCCAGTGAGACACCCTGTCTCAAAAACCACGGTGGACAATGGCTGAAGAATGACCTCTGGCCACCACACACCTGTCCACTTGTGCATGAGCACCCGTACCCACCCATGAACCTTCTTCCCACAGGAAGAAAATACTAAGGCATCAGGAAGACCGCCTGCCATCCTGGTACCTGTCTCATCTCATGCGGGCATCAAATGAGATGCTTTGTCTACATCAGGCAGGATTAGGCTTGCCTGTAGGGGAAAACTCCATCAGTGATGGCAGAGCACTCTCCTGCTGTGTGTGAGGCCAGAGGTTCCATCCCCAGCCCCTCCCTGCCCCATAGAGGAGGATGACGGATAGGGGGGCACAGCCTGTGGTCTTCCTCACAGAGTAGAAGGCTTCTTGGATTGGTTAGGACATTCATCATTTACAGTGGTCTTCCAGGTACAGTCCCAAACACGAGGACATGGTTCCCCTAGCGGAGATACTGCTAACTTCATCGGAACACCCGGGCCTGCTGGGGTTTGTCCTGCCTGGCTCCTGTCCTTGCCTGCATACTCTTCGATGCTGGGAGTGCTTGGTGGCTGGTTGCTCTAAAGGTCAAGCAAGGATCTTGCTCATCTTTGGATGAAGCAAACGATGAGTTCAGAGGGCAGAGGGGTAGTGGGAGGCTGGAGGTTCCAAACACGGCTCCAAAGCTGATGGCAGATGTCGTCCCTTGTGACTGCAGCTCATGAGGGATGTTCATCAAGACCCTATGCTCCCCCTTATGTTCAAGCTCACAGGCATCTCCCGGGGCTTCTTCTTGTCTTAGGTTCTCAGAGGCGGAGGCTCATTCCGGCACTGTCCCTCGATACTCCCTCACCCGTGAGAAAACCGACCAGCAGCACAGGGGTCCGCTGGGTGGACGGTCCCCTGAGGAGCACCCAGAGGGGGCTTGGGGAGCCTTTTGAGATTAAAGTCTATGAAATTGATGATGTGGAGCGCCTGCAGCGACGAAGAGGAGGCACCAGCAAGGTGAGGCCACTTCCTGCCCAAGGGTCACAGTTCCCCACAGGCCCTGTGCTAAAGAAGAGAACTCCAGGAGGGTCTTCCCAGGCTCAATATGGGCAGTGGGTGGTGACAGGGGGTTGTGGTCCCAGGCACAGACTTTGATAGGCGCTGTGTGTTCCTTTTCTGAAACACCTTAAGAGCCAGTGAGTTGGGGCCTGATGGGCTGAGGGAATCTTCTGGTTTCTTCTTTTGAGGTTTGACATCCTAGTGCAGACCAACATTTTGAGGGGCCGTGCGCCTTCTAGGTTAGAACAGCCTTCAGTATTCTCCCAGGAGCTGGGTGTCTTGTCTGTGGAGGTCACAAGGATCTCTGCCGTGCTTCTGGGAAGCTGGGTTCTTGTCGTCGGCCTCTCACAGTCCTTCCGTCTGGAGGAGGCTGCGGGGCTGAGCCAGAGCAGAGGGCCCTCTGCTTGTCTCCCTCTCCACTGCCCACCTCTTCCTCTCTGCGCAGGAGGTCATGTGTTTCAACGCCAAGCTGAAAATCCTGGAGCATCGGCAGCAGAGAATCGCTGAGGTCCGAGCCAAGTACGAGTGGCTGATGAAGGAGCTGGAAGCGACCAAACAGTACCTGATGCTGGACCCCAACAAGTGGCTTCATGAATGTAAGGGCCCCTGACGCTTGTCCACCCTTGCTGCCACTGTGGTCCCCAGTAACACAATCTAGGGAGTCTCTCCCAGCCACATAGATGGTCTGCATCGGAGGCATGGGCCCGTGGGGTGGAGATGTCCTACAGAGCAGCATTACTGTCAGGCTAGGACAACAGCAAGCTAGTGAGAATTCCTGTGCAAGATGCCTTCTCTTTGAGGGTCTCAATTCAAAACATCTGCAAGTGCAATGCATTATCTCCCCTACCCTTGGGAGAAGGTCACCCACAGGAAGACTCCTAAGCCACAGAATTACAAGGTTTATCTAGCCTAAAACGGACCAGAATTGTAGCTCTCTTGACAGACTAAGAATGTGACACCTTCAAACTGCTCCCGGGGGCCGTGGGAGTCCGAGGACCAGCCCTGGAGTTATTAAGCCAAAGGCCAAGTGATATTGGCCACTTGAAAACTCTTCACAATGCCACTGTTCCTTTTGAGGGAGAGATTGCATTGTCTCTAATTTCTTTGTACCTAGCCATTCAATTTACAGTAAAATAAGGCCTAACTTTGCCCTGGCTATTACATTGATACGGGACCAATCCTGGAAGACTATGTTGATGGGTAAAATATATCAGCAGCATTATGAATACTCTCTCCCCCAGTTGCCAGATCAACTCTTCCCTCCAACCTTCAGCTACCCGCATCCCTCTTGGGACACTCTTCTCCTACATGTCGCTCCCTCCTAGTGCTCCCTGCTGCTGAGGAACTTCACAGGTAGAGCCTAGCAGCTTAGATTTGTGTCCCAAAGAGCTGGTTTAAAAACAGACTGGAAATGATACCAGTACAGAAGGGCCAGGATCTACCAGCTCCTGACTGTGCCCGCTGAGTGTAATAACCCACCATCACACTCTTTCTTGGTAGCTTAGAGGGCAGAGAAGCCTACTATTTGGGGGTGCATCTGTGGCTCTGCTCAAGATCCCACAGACCTGATTTGGATACTGTTTTTTTCTTTTTCTTTCCTACACTCTGGCTGTGTGACTTTGGGTAAGGCGTCTGACTCTCTGGGTCTTGGTTTCCTTGGTGTGAAAAAGACCAGTGGCCGTGCCTGTCTCCCAGGGTGGTTCTGGGCTGAGATGAGTTCTTATGCTGCAGAGCCCAGAGGAGGAGTTCGGCATCTGGTGGGGACAGCTGCAGTTATCCCATAGTTTAGTCACCTAGATACCCCTGGCAGTAGAAACCTCAATGCTTGCTTCCTGGTCCATGGTTAAGTCTTTGGTTGGGGATTTGGACAAAGACACAGCTCTCTACCCACCCGTGTCTTCGTCTCAGGTGGAATGAGACGAACCCAGGAATAAGGGCATGGGCTAAAATGTGACTGAGACATGAGCACACAGCCTGATGCCTCTTTCTCCTCCTCTGCTGGCATTGGCTCCCCCCGCGGGTCCCTGGGTCCTTCCTGATCACAGGGCTTCCCTCAGGCAGCACCCTCGTTTCACCGCCTCTTAGAATTTTATTTTTCAAGAACCGCTTATGCCCAAGGCAGGCTTGAAAATGGTCTTCGTTTTCCAAACTCATTTTTTTTGTTTGTTTGTGGTCTGGGATGTGAATCAGCTTACATATCCATACACATGGGCCTCAGATGGTTGGAGGGGCAAGTGCTCTCTTCCTGCCTTGGTACATGTCAAGAGCCAGTAATTTTTTTTTTTTTTTTGGATGCTGAGAAAAACTATGGCTAGAAGGTTACATGAGAGAGGAAGATACAGATTTTTTTTTAAAGATAAATTTAAAACAGGAATGGGGAAAAAAATTCAAGGAGGCGATGTGCTGATGCTCCCTGATGGGTGGCAGGACGTGCTAGAACGGCGAGGTGCTGGGGCCCACCTCTGGTTTAGTTTTTCCTCCGGCTGCCTCTTTACGGTGGGGCCTGAGATAGTGCCTCATGTGCTTACAGTTAGGGTGAGGCTCTGACTTCACTATGCTGGGCTGAGATGCAGGGGCCCCGGGTCTGTTTCCAGCCGCAGTCCTTATCAGCGATACGACCTTGAACCAGGTCCCTCTCTGACGAGATGGAGGGCTGGCCCCCGTAGAGACAGCTCCGCCCCGTTACAGCCCCTCATGATTCTGTAGCGGGGTGTGGTTTGCACATTCTCCTCATTTGTGTTTCCATTCTTGTCGGTACCTCAAGGTAGACAGGAGACGCGGGGTAGGGGCGCCATCACCTCCTCCACTTGTGCTGTTGTTTAGGAAATAACGCCAGCTGAGGTGACGTTGCCCGGCTGGGAATCCAATGTCAAGTCCCTGCCAGGCCACCCACACCCATGAGTTGCTGTCCACGGGGTGCTCCCCATGTGGCCCCTTTGTAGGACCCCTAGAACTGGCACCAGGCTGCCCACCACTCTGCTAAGCCATAATGAGGCAAAGGGACCCCAGACCTCTGCCCCTCGGGAAGGGAATGGGCAAAGACCTCTGGTGCTATAGGCCTGAACCCAATGCAAAGCATCATGGCTATATGTCTCCACTTGTCTTTTGAGCCCAAGAGGATTTTAATTATTAATACACATGTTTGCAACAACATATCTACCCGCTAGGGACCCGTGAATGAGACGGGGTCAGGTGATGGTTCATGCTGACCACCTCCGCTCTCAGAAGGAAAAGACAGGGAGACTGGAAGATTAAGCCCGCTTCAGCTACACGGAGAGTTAGAGGCCAGCCTGTGTTGCCTGAGACCCTGTCTAAGAAACAAAAACAAACCAACCATCGAAAAGAGGCAGAGTCGGGATTCCCAGCCTGAGGGGCAGCAACATGTAGCACAGGAACAGGAACCTGCTCTTTCTAGGGAGGTGGGCTATGCATGTCACTCAGGTGACATCACTCCTGATGCCACAGCCCCCAAGAGCTGCTTGCCTTAGTCAACAGAGTAGTCAGAGTGGGGACCTCATGAATCTGTGTTGGAGGCAGCTGGGGCAAGCATGGGAAGGTTCTAGACCACCTCCCTATTCCTCAGAACGGTCTCTGAATGTTAAGGAGATAGAAACCATGATGGGTGTGTGTGCGCCCCTCCCCGGTGGATGCTGAAGACCAGGCGGGAGGGGATATTCACGTTGTACAACTCAGGCGACCTCGGCACAGACGAGTGAGGGGGTTAGCCCTTCCTTCAAGTAGCTCTCCCATCTCCAAGAGCTCTTTTGTCTTTCAGTTGACTTGGAACAGGTCCTGCAGCTGGATTCCCTGGAGTACCTGGAGGCCCTGGAGGGCGTGACAGAGCGCCTGGAGAGCCGTGTCAACTTCTGCAAGGCCCATCTCATGATGATCACCTGCTTTGACATCACCTCCAGGCGCCGATAAGGACCGGTGGGCTCCCAGCCATCAGTCCCTCGCTCCCTAGGACTTCAGCAGGACACCACCCTCCCAGGCAGCACTCAAGACACTAGGATGAGGATGAAGGTTGGTGGCAAGTCCAGAGTGAGCGAGGCGCGAAAGGCGATGTTTCCTTTGTTTTCTGTAGGGAAGAAGGGTAAAGACACCAACATGTGGAAGGCAGAAATGATGGGAAAACCCGTGGGACTGAGAAAGCACTTTGAGGAACCTTGGAGAACTCTGTACATAAGGACCGCTAGCGAAGAGACTCGTACCTTGCGGTTGTGAGGAAGGGGAGGGTGACGCGGGATTGCCATTGAAAGCCAAACACCAACAAGACGACCCAGAATGATGGATTAAGTGCCTTGCAAATCTTTATGATTATCCAAACATTTGTGTTCGTACTTTCTTGTGTCCGGATGGTGCTAGTCAAGAAGAAATCAACAAAACCGAAAACTCAACCCAGTTTTGGAACTGTATTTGCAGCTTGTTTTTTTCTTGGTTCTGACTTGCTGTCTGTCCCTCCGAAGTTGTGTGTGTAGTGGTATTGCCTAACCAGTATTGCCGCTGAATAAATGTTAACTGTCTTTGATGGTTATCCTGGGAAGGGCACTCAGAACACGGAAACTGCATTGGCATGAGCCCGTGTGTTTCCCAGGGAGGTTTAGAAGGGCGAGGAACAGGAGATGCCACCTTCCATGAGCAGCAGGTCAGCCAACAGCTCCAGGGTCAATCGTGGAATGGGTGCACATGAGCTTTAGTGATAAGGAGGGATGTCTTTAAGAGGAAGGGGTCTGGGTGACCCGGGCGGGCGGGCCCCTGTTCTTGTTTATTTCATGTATTTGCAGCCCTCAAAACAAGTTCATGTTTCTTTCTGGTCCAAAGCCTGTGGATGGAAAGCTTGAACAACTTCAGCAGAGTCCTGTTTCTTTGTCTTCGTGTTCTGTGGTGTCATTGATGCAGGGTGGAGGTTGGCTGTGTTAAGACTCTCTTGGGCTTACCCAGGTTCAGACTGGACATCCATTTAGAAAAAGGAAGCTTGGGGTTGGAGTTGCATATCTTTCTGTCACCCAAGGTCCGGTCCACTAGCAAGAGGTCAGCTCTCACCTGTCCTAAATCCTCTGTAGGTTGTCCCTGCCACCTTGGCATCCTGAGGCAGAGAGAGGAATCACATCCCTAAATTCCAGAACCCTGATTATACAGGACAGAGCCAAATGAATGGGGAGACCTAGATCTTGCTCCCCCTCTAAAACTGAGGACTTTAGCCTCAGATTACCGCCCTCCCTTCAGGGTTTGTTGGACTATGTTAGGGATATAGGGCTGAGGCATGGAATGGTCAGGCATTGGATGACCACAGGCTGCAGGAACAACCAACTATCCCAGGGGAACCAAGAAGTCTCCTCTCTCTCAGAGCCTATGCAGCCTGCCTGGGCATACACATGCTCAGGGTTTTGGAAAGAGGACTCAGCATCCTCCCACACACACACACTAACCAACTCCTCAATCCCAGATGCTCCTCAAAGAGAAAGAACTTTGGATTTCTGCAACAGTTCTCTCTCTGGACACATGTATCCCAGCACAGCGTGGTATGTGGCCAGCGGAACTCACCACACAGGAGCTGAAGTCATGTGAGCACCATGACACTTGATCTTTTACCCAGAACAGGGCATAGATGAGGCTACCCGCTTGACTGTTCTAGAGGTCAGCCCTGTGGACCAAAAGGCAGCCCCATGGGTCACAATTCCTGCTTTGCACATTCCTAAGAGTTGCTTCTTAGGAAAGGTATCCCAAGCTGCTGGTCAGGTGGACTAAGCTCTGGAATAGTCCATGCCCCACTCCGTGCATCCTACAGCTTTACCAAGTATGTCTCCTGGGGCAGCAGGGCCTCCACAGCTCCCCTCCAGTGCCATTCTACAGGAGTCCTGGGTTCAGGGCCCACCTCGGCCTCCTAACACATGTACCCATGGGTCTGCTTAACAGCAATGTTCTTGTAAGTTTCTGGACCTGTAGGGATGCCAGTACTATGAACATCTGTTTTGATTGCTGGCTGGAAATATATTTCTGTGTTGTTTTGTTTCTCATGAAAGGCTTTGGTGCGGAAAAGTTTTAAAAAGTGAGCATGCCTAGATTTCGTTTCCCTGCTTGAGAGGAAATTCATTTGATTAGTAATTTCTGAGCTTGGCTTTGGTCCCTGCCGCCTTTCCCCTTACCCCTGAGGTCATCAAGCCCCAGTGAATACTTTAGCAGGCCACCCACCAACAGAGCCCAGTGCCTTTGCTGGAGTGAGACCCTGCTGACTCATCTGTAGAGAGCAGACCCTCAGTCAGCAGGTTCTTTTGGGAGAAGGGCCTTCAGCTGGAGAGTGGCCCTCAGCTGCCTCCCATGGAGATCTGTTTGCATATATTCCAAACATCTTCATGCTATAGCATCAGTGGTTTGGCAATGGTACTAGGGTTACTTTACCAAGCCAGGTAGGCTACATCCACGTGGCAAGGCATCCTAAGGGATCCAACAGGCTGTGATGCAGGGAGATATTTGTGTGAAATAGTGTGGATCTCTTGTTCGTTCTCATATCCTGCCCCTCTCCAAAGTAAGCTGTAAGCATCTTTTTTTTGTTTGTTTGTTTTTGTTTTTGTTTTTTTTGAGACAGGGTTTCTCTGTGTAGTTTTGCGCCTTTCCTGGAACTCACTTGGTAGCCCAGGCTGGCCTCGAACTCACAGAGATCCGCCTGCCTCTGCCTCCAGAGTGCTGGGATTAAAGGCGTGTGCCACCACCGCCCGGCTAAGCTGTAAGCATCTTAATCTACCATACTGCATTATCTTCACTGATAACCAGTGGAGACGCCATGCATCCCATGATGCACCTGTTCCCCGCCCTGCCTGTGGGAATACAAAGAAGTCCACAGCTGAGGACAGTGCCAGCGTGCGGTGGCTCCAGGTTTGGTTTGGAGGAAAAGAAAGGCAAAGGGAATGTCAAGGAACTCACGTCTACTTCATCCCTTTCTGTAGAAGGGCTGGACTTGTTTCTCTGAAATTAGTACTTAGGTACATATGCCTTACTTAAATTCTGTCCATTACCCCAACTCTAGCCCAGCTTCAAAGAATTGACTGTGAGGCTGAATTATTTGCAGCCAAGTAAAACTGAAAAAATAAAAAATAAAAAAAATAAAAAATCTGAGACAAGGGGCATCATCCCTCCTGGAGGAAACCCTTAGTTCATCTCACCTGCGGGGAGGGAGAGGGGTGTTGCTGCTCCCAGGGAGCCTGCCTTTGCTTTGTCTTGGCTTTCAATACCCACCTGAGAGCTGAAGGCTTTGATCTTCCCCTTGAACCCTCCTGGATACCCCAGGAGCTGTTTCTCACTTTCATCTCGGCAGAGTAGAAACTGGCTGGCCCTTGTGGTTCCAACTCCAATTGCTGTTCTGAACATGGGGGACAAATGAAGCATATGCAGAGGTGCGTCCCCTAGTGACACACCAAAGACCCAAGCGATGACCTCTGAGCAGGAGAAGGGCTCCTGAGCTAGAGACTGGGGTAAGGACCACCCTAAAGCCCCAGGAAAGAGGCGGGGGTGGGCAGCAGAAATGTTCATCGGGCAGGTACCAAGTCCCATTGGTCACAAATCAGCCTGAAACGTGGGGTCTAGTGTCCAGGAAGAACACTCACGCCGTGTAGGGGGGTGCTTCAAAAGGACCTACGTGCTCAGGGTGTGTGTGCGTGCTTGCTGCAAGGATTTCCATTCAAGCTTTAGGCAAGAAAAGCATCCGCCACGTGGGTGTGGATCTCATATCCCTGGGGAACAGCCACCTTCTCTGGCCTTCAGACTCTCATGCCCCTCATTAATTTGAGCTCATTCATAAGCCTTCCTCATAGACTGGTATTTCAAACCTGCTGTCTGCCCTTGACTTCCCGATTGAGAAGGTGAGGTTGGCCAGAGTCCACAGTTTGCACGGTGCAGTCATGGTCTTTGCTGATCTGTAATTGAGCCCGAAGTGGATGGTTTTTTTGGGTTCCTTATTCCACCAAGAATTCTAGTCTGTAAAAGAAATTACTAAAAAACTGAGTTCCTTCCAAAATTGGAAACAGATTTCCTGAATGTTGTTCTTTCCTTGGACATAATGCAAAAACATTGCCTCCCTTTTAGGGTAGTTTATCTTTGAAACCCAAAGCTGGGGCCCATTAGGAACAGGTTGAAAATCCTGTGTTCTAGGAGCTGATGCTGACAAAGCCATCCACTGTCATTGTCCCTGGAGGCTCCCCGCCACTGCCTAGCAGCGTGGCCCAGCTTTCCACACTGAAAGAGGTGCCCCCCCCGTGCTAACACACATGTGACGGCACCGCAGAGGGAGAGGCCGGCCGGCCGGCTCGCTCTTCTCCCTGCCAAGCTAAACTGCCGAGGGCAAGATTCACAGGCATGATTGGTAAATGGGTCTACTTTTATTTTGAAGTGATAGAAACACAGTGTTCTTTTATATTACACGGAGTACCACTCTCCTCTTCTGAACAAGATCTGTAACCACTTTATAACATTACAAAGCTGTTTGCAAAAAAATGCGTACATTGTATCCTTTAGCCATCTTCTTGGTGTGTCAAACAGAGCATGCTTCGAAATGACAAATTCTGCATTATTTCCATAAGCATAAAAGCAGAATTCTAACCCAGGAAACTCTCTTAAATCCAGTATATCCTCTCAAAAGAAAAAGTTTTATTTTTTGAAAATTCCTACAAGTCAATTTATCCATCCCTGAACAAACACATTCTACTTTGGGGTGGACCTATGCAACCCCTGAGGTGATGTCACAGTATTGGACAGAGTGTGCTACTGTGGGTAGGTCCAAGCCTAATATTCTCCACATACAGCAGTTTCCGGTGTCACGGTTGTGGAAGTGAGCATTCCAATCCTGGAACTACACATTTGTTTTAGTACACTGAGAATGACCTTCCTTGAAGGGATCGTCCTGCCTCTGTTCTCCACACTGCCAGCCTCCCACACTGCCAGCCTCCCACACTGCCAGCCTCCCACACGGCCAGGCTGGATTTACGGAGACGTTATCATGGATTTGTAGCCTCAGAATGTTGCTCTGTAGTACCGCTTGTGTTTCTGGATCTATTTATGCCCTCCACGTGTTCTGAGTTGAAATGTGTGCTTGCTCAGTCTGTGTTTGTCTTTTTCTTCTGTTTCCTTTACTCCAGCAAAGTCGATTAGCAGAGACATGGGCCAGGGGTGGGAGGATGGATACGGACTGGGGTGGGGTCTCCTCCTCCAAGTGCAGAGCTTTGCCCGGCTGCCACTCTAGTAGCCAGCCAAAGGGACTGAGACAAAGTTCTTCCTTTCAAGTTGGCATGGTGATGAAGTTGGAAATCAGGTCCCATGGGCCTGGGTAGCAGAGGATCCAGCCTCCTCCACCTGGGTCTCCTCACAGCCACTGAAGAAAGTGCTGACATTATTAAGTCCTACTCATCCCCAAGATCCCCAAGAGGTCCTCACCTTGGATAGATGTTGTAGCTATCTATTTGTTAAACCAAAGCACTTTAGTGAGTCTTACAACCCGTAATACTTATGGTGTGTGTCCCCTTGCTGGATCTCTGAGAGGCAGAGCGGGGCTTGGGCCAGTAGTCTCCGTTGAGAGGCAGCTAGAACGAGGAGGAAGAGCCTGGAGCTAGGAGGCAGGGAGCCAGGACCACATCTGCTGCCATCACTCGCTATAAACCTTGGGTGGCCTGCTGCGTTTTGCTGGGCCTCGGGTCCCCCTGTAGACAGTTTGTGGGAGTCATAAAAGCTGCCCTCCTGGGATAGTAGAAAAGGAAAGGAACGGTGTAATTGGTGGGACATGGTTTGAAGAAATTAGAAGCTCTCTCCAGAGCGGGGGAGGATCATAAAGAGATGAAGAAACCAACAACAGTAGCCACTGACTGGCCCGGTTCAGAGAAGGGTCTCACAGCAGACCTGGGACGTGAGCCCAGGCACCTGGGCTCTCTCTGTTAGACCACCTTGCACCCAGGGTGTGTACCTGAACACACGCGGCTCCTCTGTGCCAGCCTGTGTACATCTGTACAGAGGGTGTGTCTGTACAGAGGGTGTGTAACACAGATGAAGAGCATAAGACAAAAGCCCCAAGTCTAATCCTATTTTCAATAGTAGACCTACCTGTGGCCTGGGACACACAAGCAACTCTTCGGGAACTCGGATTTTCTAAGTTGTAAAATGAGGACATTGTGGTCCAAGGTCTTTGCGGTTCTTCCGGCTCTGGCTGTGAGTCCACGATGAGTGATGTATGTATGTATATATCGATATGCTTCTCTGTAGAAATGGGCCCACTGGGAAAATTGGAGACAAGGCCTGCCCAAGTGCATTGATTGTATCAGAATCGGCAACTTCACAAGCCCATAAGCCTTCATTTTAAAAGTTGATGGTGGCATTTACTGTTACTGTTTCAAAGTCACTGTTTCACTGGGTAGAAGATTGGTGCTGTTTTAAAAATTAAGTTCTTAGCTCGCAAGTGTTTGCTGTTAATTTTTAAAGCACAGTCATTTGTTCAATAGTCGAAATTTAAACTATTCTGCCTTGGGCAGGTCCCCAATAGTCTGTTTGCAGGTTGGGTTTTGTGTATGGGCTTTTACATAACTATATTAAAGTTAGCTGTTGGCTTGGTCATGATAAATATGAACAGATTGCCTGGAACAGTCCAGAAAAGAATTGAATTCTATAGTTCTCATCAACTGGTGACATGAAACCATTAAGCTATGTGCGATTTCCTGGTGTGAAGATGTTGTTTGCTGGCTACGGTCTCTGACTTTGTGGCATATGAGGTATAAAATGTTGTAAAAAAAAAAAAAATCTGGTGTTTAAAAGAATCAGACTATGGTGGCATTAAATGTTCACTTTTATTCTACCCAGAGTCACGCCTCCTTCTCTACCCAGTAGGTCTTTTTGTGCACAAGGGTATCCAATTCAAGGACCAAGGTCACCATGCTAAAGCTACACCTTAGCCTGGTTGGGGGGTGGTGGCAAGGTCCCACAGGTCCTTGGGGACTCGCCTGTCTATGAACAGTCTCACTGTGGGGCCGTCCTCCAAGTCAGAACCTCAGGCAGGAGTGGATGGCGGTGAGGGCTAAGCCTCTGAATCTCAGGAGTGGTCCTCTGTCCCAGCGAGTCAAATGGTATGATGTAGAGTCCACCTCAGGTCAGTATTTCTGGTGTCACAGAATCAGGGTTGCAGATGACTTGAGCCTGGACACAGGGTTCCTCATTACACTGGGATTTATCTCAACTGTGACTAAGCACATTCCAGAAGAAGGAGAAAAAAGATCATGACTGTGCAAATATCTCCTAGAGCAGCTCCTACCCTCAAGGACAGGCATCAGGCATCAACACATAGATAACAATGGCCACCTCCAGTCATCGGGTGCATCAGTGCCTGGGGGACAGGCCTGGTGGCCACCGAAACAAACGCATGCTCTTGCTCCTGCCCAGGACTGTGCTGCCTCCCTGTCCCTGCCCTGACAACCTTGCCTGGTTTGCCTAAGGCCCCTTGTCTTTCTCCTCACATCCTAGACAAGCCCCTCCTGGGCTCCCCAGAGCACCAAAGAAGCCATAGGAAAAAGTGGTCAGGGTTCTCAGTGGTAACACCTTCTCTGGAAGCCCAAGGTTTGCTGTGCACGGATCACTCCCTTGGGAGAACAGAGAACACAGGGCGTGGAGGGGGTTGCTTCCGGTCTTCTCAGACCTCCATTAAGACCTCCATCCCTCAGTCGTCCAGGGGTCAGGCATGGCCTGTCACCTCAGCTTGTCCTCATTTCACATCTGCCTACTGAGGAGGGTTGGCCAGGACAATGAATGTGGTCATCAGAAGCAGCTTTGACTTTTGCACTGATAGTCTCTAGATAGCTATCTATATTGTGTGTGTGTGTGTGTGTGTGTGTGTGTGTGTGTCTGTCTGTCTGTCTGTCTGTCTGTGTCTGTCTGTCTGTGTGTGTCTGTGTGGGGTACACATGTGTGTGACCTAAGTGTGGGGGCCAGAGGTCAATCTCAGATGCTGTTCTTTGGGCACGGTCCACCTCATTTTTCGAGGCAGGATTTCTTACTAGCCTGGAACTTGCTGATTAGACTAGGCCACCCAGAAAGCCCCAGGAATCCTCCTGTCTCCACCTCCTCAGTGTTGGCACTACAAGTACACACCGCCGCACCTGGCTTCTTTGAAAACATGGGTTGGTTCTGGGGATCAAACTCAGGCCCTCATGCCTGTGTGGCTAGCGCTTTCCTGACTGGCCATCTTTCCAGCCTCTTTCCGTTGTTTAATACAGTGACCACGTGTCTGTCAGAAGCAACCCAAGAGAAGAAAGATTGCTTTTAGCCCATGGTTTCATAGAGTCCATCATGGTGGACCCAGGTAGGGTAGCTCATCCCCAGTGGTTCTGAGGGAGCAGAAACAAAGTCAGCTCCAGTGCTCTAGGCTGGTCAGTGGCCTCCTTAAATCGTGCCAGTACCCGAGGACCAAAGGTTCAAACCCAAAGCCTGTAGGGATGTTTCACGTCCAACCCATGATGTCTTGTTTTCTATTGCTTCATCTCAGGGAGGACACCCATCAACCTGCCCATTGCTATTCTGTCTCCCACAGGACTGTGATGCCAACTGTCACCTAGCTGTCCTTGAGACTAAGACATCATGAAAAGCCATGCAAGGACCCTTCATCCTGAATTAGCAAGTCAGGCTATTCCTGTTCCCAGGGAAGCTTTGTGTTTTAGATAGGGGCTGTCACATTGTCGGGGGCCTCCACCTTCTCCTCTAGCTGAAGGCGTTTCTCAAAAATCCTTATAAACATGTGGAACACTTGGAGTATGGCCACAGAGACTTAGCTGGATGTTATGACACTGCCAGCTGAGTTTTTCTTAGCCCCCCGTCCCACTTTCCTAGCATCCAGGACCAATCCTGTAGCTCACTCAGCACCCAGCCAACACCAGCTGAATGAAAGTCAACCAACCATTTTGGGGGAGCTGATGCAGCAGGAGAGCCAGGAATGGAGGTGCAGAAACTTCAGACTCCCTTGAGGAAGGTACCAAAGGACTGAATTTGGAAACCCCTTATGGTGATATTTTATTTGTACTGAAATGTGATTTTACTTGTATGTTAATAAATAAAGTTGCCTTGGGGGTCAGAGCTAATAACAAGCCATAGGAGAAGTTGGGCAGTGGTGGTGCACACCTTTACTCCCAGCTCTTGGGAGGCAGAGCTATGCAGATCTCTGTGTGTTCAGGGATACAGCCAGCATGGAGACACATGCCTTTAATCTCAATACCAACCATAGAAGACCTGGAGGTCTGTATAGACAGGCAGTGACGAGGAGGTCATGTGGTTGGGTTTACAACCAATGAGAAGGTAGAACAGAAAGTCAATAAAAAGACAGATACACAGGAAGTAGGTCTCTTTCTGAGGGGAAGGACAGCAGTGGCAGCGAAGGGTAAGAAAGGGTTTTTAGCTCTTAGCTACTACTCTGACCTCTTGGGCTTTCAACTCTGCATTTGGCTCTGTGTTTCTTTTTTAATAAGACGGTTACATCTACAACCCCTAGCTGATGCGAAGCCCACAGTTCACAGAGGAAGGGTAGCAGTGCTAGGTACCAGGGCCAGACCTAGGCCCCTGGCCTATGATACACACAGCACAGCTGAGACCTCGGAACCACTGACCAGCCCTGGCTTCCGAATCCCTAAGGCGCTCTACCCCCCAAGACATGAAAGCCCACAGGGTTTCTGA